GACAGCTTGTTGCCAGTTGAGGAATCTGAAACATTCTTGCAGATAAGTGTTAAATGTTTTCATATATTTCAAAGTTATTATTAGATGTTGAATTGTAATGTAGATGTGTTTTAATTCAGTGATCGATCATAGGCCCTGTCCTTCAAAAATAGGTTGATTACCGCATTGACCACCATTGTAGAAGTGCTGGCATGTAGTTTAGTCTGATTCCCAATGGAGAATGACATAATGTATTCCCCGTGCTGGGAAATTCGTCTGTCATGTTTTGGGCTGAGATTTAAATGTCCGCCTGTCTTTAGCGATGAAATAAATAGCCCTGTTCTTGAAGGTTGAAAAAAAAGCATCTTTAACACTTCACTTATTGACAGACAATCTACAAACACTTTCTGCATCTTAGCATAAAATGCGGTTTGATATTTCAGTTTCAGTGGACTACATTGTCGATATTTCCCACTTTATTTTGGTAATGGGGTTTATTATGAATACGTGGTTACGTTTCAAAAGAACCAGATCCCTTTTTCTTAGCTGGGATGGTGTACTCACATTTTGAATGAATGATTTTATTGTCATCTGAATTTTATAGTGCCAGAAACAGTAAAACACACTGAAAACTTTTTTCTATTCTCACCAAGATCCAGTGCTAGTTTTAAGAATAAGAAAAAAGTAAAAAAGATATAGCTTAAAAAGAGTCCATCAGTCCTGAGCCAGTTCATTCTCAACAACGCCTTTGCCACAAACCCTCTGTCACCCCCACGCCGCCATCTACACTGGAACAAACGAATATTGAAATGACCACTCTTCAGGCACCCTCTTTAGCTGCTGGGCTGATTCTCTGCCACCACTGCCTCGCTGCCACTTGGGCTGGACACCCAATGTCAGAGTCCTGTCTCTCGCCAGTGGGTCCACCTCATCGATGTCACTGTGATGCCCTTCTGCCACCTCTTTGCCACCGCCAGTGCCGGATCCAACCAATGACAAAGCCACTGATCCTCAGGCACCATCTTTCGCCATTGGGCCTACTTCACCGAAGCTGCATCAGCCACCGATTCCAATGCCAGTTCCTGTGCTTACCCCAGAAAAGTACGTAGGGGCTAACTCAAGTTTACGCTGGGCTCCCACGTTGCCTAAGTCCATGCTGGGCCCACCCGAGACGGTGCTGGGCCCACTCGAGTTCATGTTGGGTCCACTTGAGTCCGTGCTGGGCCCACTCGAGTCCATACTGGGCCCACTTGAGTCTGTGCTGGGCCCACTCGAGTCTGTGCTAGACCCACTCGAGTCCGTGCT